AAGGGCGCTGTCATTGCCATGTCTCGAGAGCTGGCCACGATCCACGCTCGCGAGAACATCCGCGTGAATGCCCTATGTCCCGGTCCGCTCAACACCGAGCTGTTGCAGAAGTTCCTGGACTCGGAGGAGAAGAAGCAACGCCGTTTGGTGCATGTGCCTATGGGTCGTTTCGGAGAGGCTGCAGAGATGGCCAAGGCTGCACTCTTCCTTGCTTGCTTCCGCCGCCGGAGCCTGCAGGTTCTCCCGCACATGCGCAATGAGGCCCTGCTCGTACGCGTCAAGCGCATTGACGCGCTCGAGCTGCTCGGCCGGTGTTGACACCACCAGGCTCTGCAGGGCCTCCATCCCGAATATGCCTGCCATCTTCCGAACCGACTCGAACTGAGAGTCGTTCATATGGGAGAAGTCGCTCCTGTCCATGGCAACGAGCTTCGGAGAGGTTCAGGTAGTCTACCCGCGGTGGCGTGGATTGACTACTAGTGCTACCAAGTGTGACGGGGTCACACAGCACCTTGCGCTAGAGAAAGTTGGCTTCCGAGAGTATACAAACTCTCAGTGAACGGCAGTTCACAGGTCCCCTTCTATCCAAAGGGAGCGAAGTGACCTATTTAAGGTAGAATGTAAATTGAGTATATTTATAGGTAGATAAAGCTTGGGTTAAATACAAACTATAAGTCATCTATAGAAAAGTAATGACATTAGCCAATGGTTGGCTTTGGACGACCTTGGTACCTTGTACCAAATATCCCGAAGTATGACGTGTCACACCTCATGTAACTAAGGGTACACTAAGGGCTACGTGCTCCGTTAGAGGATCTGTAATATTAATATTAATTAAAGTTTGGCTGCAGATCGCGAATCTACTCGCAGCGACACACCGCTCGCGCCGTCTGTGGTGTCCTGGTCTGAAGCCATTTCCAAAGACCGTTTTTGCTGCATTAATGGCGTCAATTTGGGGCAGCATAATATTGAACAGCAATAATATTATTTATAACCAGCAAATTCATTTTTTTATTTCCAGCTGCCTCGCGCATAAGAATAAGGTGAATGAGAGTTCTTATCGTTAGTCTTAGGATTGTACAGTCATTTGAAAATTTGTTTTGTCAAACTCGATGTCAGTTTTCATTTTCCCGAGCACAGAGCGTCATATAAACCCGCTCGATGAAACTATTTACCAAACTATAGTATACACAAGTGGTTGCTGCAACTGCGGGACGATGTTTAAAGTCCTGTTCAGGTTGAGGTGGGGTGGAGTGTGTTGGGTTGGCACTTAATTATGAGCCGCAGCAGCAGGTCGGAACAAATGAGCTTCTCGAGGCTGTTCAAGTTGTGGTCAACTGCTTTCGAACACGTGCTGCCTTTTAGCATATGCGGCGGGTGTGAATGCAACGAGAGAACGAGTTTTATTATAAGGCCAAAACCTTTATAATTAGAAACACCCGCCGTTTGGTTTCTAATCCTGCAGACGAGCCAAAGTGAATGGCTGGTTAGCCGGTGGCTAATAGCCACACGTTCCACGTCGAACATTGAGATGCGCTCCGAGACAAATTTTGTCATGGCCCATGCATGACTCATGGGAAAGCGCAAAGCGTTTTGCACTGCTGGCCAGTGGCCACGGCTTCGCCGCAGACAGGTGGGGGACAGATGGCTGGCGCTGCCTGGTAACCGGTACAGGCTGTACTACAGCACAGTACATGTAGATTCGCTCGTTGACACCGTTTGAAGATTGCCCGGGACGACGACAAAGCTTTTCGTGAAGATTTGGCTCGGTCCCTGTCTGCCGAGCATACTCCGACGCAGTTTATTAATACCGGTACTGTAACGCGCTCTTGGACGGAAGAAGCGCGTGGCAAGTGCAATTTTTTTGGCTCAACAACGACGGCACACTGCAAATAATGGAGAGGCTCTGCAGGCGATGACTGCGGAATCGATCGCCCCGAGATGAGCGTGGCTGCATACAGTATGTGTTTGCCGCGCCAGACCGACGCCATGAAAAATCGCCACAAGAAAACACCGATATTTTGGTTTTGATGAACAACTCAAGAAATCTGTAGAATCCAACATTACATGAAAGCACATTACATGTTTTAAAACTTTCAATTATTTTTTGCGTTCAACATTTTCCCACAATGAACCCCATTACGGGTCAAGGTGGCATACGGTGTTGTACTTTTTTTAAGTTGGATGAAAATATTCGATAATGATTGCCGGGCCTCGTTTATTTCGCTCGCGTCGGGGAATGCACTCTGACAGAACTGTTTGGAACTCTGCGGCAAGAACACCATTAAACTGTAGGAGGACCCTGGAATCTCGGCCAATGAGCTTCCGTTCGGCCAATAAGCCCTCTTCTTGCAATCGTTTGGGCAACAGACCGACCGATTTAATTAAGAGCTTTCACAAAATACTGTATAGGTATCACGGCGCTAGTGTTCATACAATAATTGTTGCTACTATACTGTAACCTGGAAATATTTCATCAAAAGCTTCCCACAAAAATAGACTTTATTTTCTGAACCTCTAGAGGCCTTGATTTCCAAATATTTGATTCAGTGCAAAAAGTCTTAGCCAAAAAAGTGAGACAGAAGGAATCCATGCTTCAACAGCTCAGAGACGAGCCTAAAATGTCGCTTGGCAACCAGCAGCAGGCATCTCATTTCACTTTTGGAAGCGACTCGCTCTAACGCCCCCTGATCTCTCAAAATGACGGCGCTACTTGTAAAAAGCTCGTGGAAACAGCACGAGCCTGCCCTACCCGTCGATGACATCCTGCCCGACAACCAGCTACAGGAGGCGCGCGCCTGGACCCACAAGCTTCGCCACGGCGAGAGCACCAGCAAGAGTCCCAAGCCCACTGACGCCGTCCTCTCGCCCACGCAGACAAACAAACCCATAGTGGTCGAGACCAGCAGCAAAAAGCACCGATTCTCGCTGCGACGCCTCTTCAAGCACGAATACCTTCATGGACAGGGAAGAAATCCTGCCTTCGTGCCGCCTGTGCCCAATCCTACGGACTTCCTTACTCGCGAGCGCCACGGCGGCGTAACAGTCAGCGGCAAACGCGTGCCCTTCACACGTGACGCTCACAAGCGCAGGAAAAAGACATCGAAGCCCCTTCCACGCATCAATGAGGACCGCGCGCTCGTGCCGGTGAGCTCATCTGTGGAGGCCTACCGTCGCCGGGCCTACTACCCGGCCAAGAACGAAAAATTCAAGAAATGAGG